ATCGTTTCTCACATTCTCACATTCAGGATGAAACTCTACAATAATTAGAGAGTACTAGAACCAACATGTTTTGTCAGTATATATGGTCAAGGCTAGGGATGTCAACCGCGTTCTGCGGGGTCGGGGAGTCCCTTCCAGTTCTCGTCTCTATCCTCGAAAATGGTGAGGATGGAGATTCTCACGAGGATTTTTAATTGGGGGTAAATTTTGCCTCCCATCTTTGTTTCCCGCAGGGAATGGGGATTCTCGTTCCCTGCGAGGATACCCATTCCTCATCAATTAATATAAAAAAATAAAATTTTTATATTAAAAAAATTAATAAATGATTAATTAAATTAAATCGTTTCTCACATTCTCACATTCAGGATGAAACTCTACAATAATTAGAGAGTACTAGAACCAACATGTTTTGTCAGTATATATGGTCAAGGCTAAGGATGTCAACCGCGTTCTGCGGAGCTGGGGAGTCCCTCCCCATTCCCGTCCCTATCCTCGTAAGTGGTGGAGATGGAGATTCTCGCGAGGATTTTTAATGAGGAGTAAATTTTGCCTCCCATCTTCGTTTCCCGCAGGGAATGGGGATTTTCGTTCCCTGCGAGGATACCCATTCCTCACCAATTAATATAAAAAAAATAAAATTTTTATATATAATTAATTAATATTCAATTATAATAAATAAAATTTTAAAAATTCAAGTATAATTAATTAAAATTCTTTAAATATAAATTATTCAAACATAAATAAAGATCAATCTAATATAAATAACTAAAAGGTTAATAATAGGTTGGATAAAATTGGATTAAATTTAAATTTTATTGAATTAGATTTTATGTTTGAAGGTTGAATTAAATTTAAAATAAAACTAATTTACATATTTTTTTAATTTTTCACAAGGATGGAGATCCCCACAGGGCCTCGCGGAGCGTGAAAAATTACACGTGAATTTTCACGGGGAGAAAATACTTCCCATCCCCACCCCGCGGGTAGGAATATTTCTCTTCGTTCTGTAAGGATCCCCACAGGGCCCCGGGGGGATCGGGGCAAATTGCCATCCCTATTTGTTCTCCATACAATTTCATATATTTCCATCTTCATATATTTCCATACATTTGCAAGAGTACAAGTCCCATATACAGGGACAATAGGAGATGGGAGTTACAAGGAATAAATACTCACTAAATGAGAGGTTACAAAGATTAAAGTTCTACTAATAAAGGAGTTACAAGGAATCAATTATCACCATCTAAATGCATGACATTATGGAGCGTTAATCACCATTATAATTGCATAAAGGTAGTGGAAGTTACATCATTATTTAGTGTGTAAATGCCATGGAAAATGGAGAGGTGAGAGGATGAAAAAGGTGAAACATTCACAATAAATTGATTCAAAACAAATTAATATTTATTATTTAGCATATATCTTTAGATATCATGATAAAAAAAGAACCACTCGTATGTATCTCAACATATAAATGCATACAAGAACCACTGTGAGATGTATATACAGACTATGGGCCTTGGTTAAATTTGTTTGGTTCACACAATCTCTTAAATTTTGATTTTAATTTAACTATTAAGTAGAATTAATAACAAATAAGACAATTAATATTTATTATTTAACATATATTTTTAGATTTCATAACAAAAAATATATATATAAGTCTTGACTCTAAAAAAAATTAAAATCTCAACTTACGTCATTTTATTTAATTAAGATTCAATTCAAATTTTTTAAAAAAATCTATTTTATAAAATGTTGATATTTTTCTAAATTTTGGCATTAATGTTTAATAGGCAAAAATCTAAATTTTAAATTAAGATTTTAGTTTCTAAATATATGATGTGATTTAAAAATTTTTTAGAATTAGACTAAGGGCCTGTTTGGTACAGCGGTTAAAATTCAGTGGATAACGGGTAGTGGATAGCAGGTGACGGATAGCAAGTAGCGGATAGCGGGTAGCGGATAGCGGGTAGCGGGTGGCGGTTAGCGGATAGCGGTTAGCAGATAACGGAAGTGGGTAACGGATGGTAAATAACAGATTCGATAAATATAACTGTTTAGCTATACAATAGTTAGCGACTATTGTTTAATATTAAATGACTAATAATGACATGTTTAAAAATAAATAAGTGTATTTTTTAAAATATTTTTATTTTTTATTATTAA